CTGGATGGTAGATTTCATCATACGAGTAGAAAATAGAAATTTTGATGAAAATTTTTTTTTTTTTTTTTATTAAATTTTCAAAGTTAAGACTTGATGTTGGTCTTGAAAACATGTTTATATTAAAGATTTTTAAAGGGGGCACCAGGATTTGAACCTGAGACCTCTTGATCTGCAGTCAAATGCTCTACCACTGAGCTATACCCCCAATTTGGCAAATTTCTCTGACTTTTGATATCCCCCCAATATAATATAACACTGTATTTATTTGTTTTTCTTAATTAAGATTCTCTTGACGACCTCCTGCTGGTCATTAGCAGAACTCACATAATCGACAGAAATGAGTAAATTCTGCTCTTTGTTTTAGAATCGAGAGGAAGATTTCTTCAAATAAGAGGGAAATGTGTACATTCTCCACCATTATCTAGGAAAATGTGTACATTCTCCACCAGCATCTAGTAGAAATTTGTAACACTTTAACATGTTGCGCTGAAATAAAAATCTTTTACTTTTCAAGGAACTGGATGGTAGATTTCATCATACGAGTAGAAAATAGAAATTTTGATGAAAATTTTTTTTTTAAATTAAATTTTCAAAGTTATGACTTGATGTTGGTCTTGATTTTGAAAATATGTTTATATTAAAGATTTTTAAAGGGGGCACCAGGATTTGAACCTGAGACCTCTTGATCTGCAGTCAAATGCTCTACCACTGAGCTATACCCCCAATTTGGGAAGTCTGACAGTCTTTTGATTGCCCCCCAATATAATATAAGACCGTATTTATTTGATTTTCTTAATTAAGATTCTCTTGACGACCTCCTGCTGGTCATTAGCAGAACTCACATAATCGACAGAAATGAGTAAATTCTGCTCTTTGTTTTAGAATCGAGAGGAAGATTTCTTCAAATGAGAGGGAAATGTGTACATTCTCCACCAGTATCTAGGAAAATGTGTACATTCTCCACCAGCATCTAGTAGAAATTTGTAAAACTTTAACATGTTGCGTTGAAATAAAAATCTTTTACTTTTCAAGGAACTGGATGGTAGATTTCATCATACGAGTAGAAAATAGATATTTTGATGAAAAAAATGGTTTGTTTTTTTTTAAAATTCAATTTTCATAGTTATGGCTTGATGTTGGTCTTGATTTTGAAAATTTGTTTATATTAAAGATTTTTAAAGGGGGCACCAGGATTTGAACCTGAGACCTCTTGATCTGCATTCAAATACCCCCAATTTGGCAAGTTTCCCTGACTTTTGATATCTCCCCAATATAATATAAGACTGTATTTATTTGATTTTCTTAATTAAGATTCTCTTGACGACCTCCTGCTGGTCATTAGCAGAACTCACATAATCGACAGAAATGAGTACATTCTGCTCTTTGTTTTAGAATCGAGAGGAATATTTCTTCAAATGAGCGGGAAATGTGTACATTCTCCACCAGTATCTAGGAAAATGTGTACATTCTCCACCAGCATCTAGTAGAAATTTGTAACACTTTAACATGTTGCGTTGAAATAAAAATCTTTTACTTTTCAAGGAACTGGATGGTAGATTTCATCATACGAGTAGAAAATAGAAATATTGATGAAATTTTTTTTTTTTTTTAAATTCAATTTTCAAAGTTATGACTTGATGTTGGTCTTGATTTTGAAAATATGTTTATATTAAAGATTTTTAAAGGGGGCACCAGGATTTGAACCTGAGACCTCTTGATCTGCAGTCAAATGCTCTACCACTGAGCTATACCCCTAATTTGGCAAGTTTCCCTGACTTTTGTTTTCCCCCCAATATAATATAAGACTGTATTTATTTGTGTTTCTTAATTAAGATTCTCTTGACGACCTCCTGCTGGTCATTAGCAGAACTCACATAATCGACAGAAATGAGTAAATTCTGCTCTTTGTTTTAGAATCGAGAGGAAGATTTCTTTAAATAAGCGGGAAATGTGTACATTCTCCACCATTATCTAGGAAAATGTGTACATTCTCCACCAGCATCTAGTAGAAATTTGTAACACTTTAACATGTTGCGCTGAAATAAAAATCTTTTACTTTTCAAGGAACTGGATGGTAGATTTCATCATACGAGTAGAAAATAGACATTTTGATGAAAAAAAAGTTTTTTAAAAAAAATATAATTTTCAAAGTTATGACTTGATGTTGGTCTTGATTTTGAAAGTATGTTTATAGTAAAGATTTTTAAAGGGGGCACCAGGATTTGAACATGAGACC